GTGCCCTACCCTAAAATATTTGTTTTCATTACCCCACTCAAGTAATTTTGAACTTCAACGCCTCCTGCTCAGTTGTAGCTACAACTCCAAAGTTATAACTTATGCAATACTGGTGGGGGAAAAAAAAAGTCTTATCTGAAAAAATCTGTACCAACCTAAAAGAAATTGTGCTGCAAAGCAACTTTTATATTTATACTCTCACCTAAGCCATTATTACACCATGTGCCACCAAGATGATGACACTATAAGCAGTCACACACTCATTTGGCAAGGCCATGAGATGACGAAGAGGCCACGGAAAAGGCCACGTGCTGCACTGAGAAATATTCTAAAACCATTAAGTTATCATTGAAGATTAAGGAGTGTTTGAACCCAAGCTCCACTGTTTAGTAAGGCATGAGAACCCGAAGACATACAGTTCTATTTCTATACCCAGGGCCGGGGCTGGCCGACTTGGTCCATAAGGGCTCAGAGAGTAAATGTTTCAGTCTCCGTGGGCTCGAGTGTCTCCGCCACAACTCAACTCTGTGTAGCAGGAAAGCAGCCGTCGACAATAGAGAATGAATGGATGTGGCCGTGTTCTAACACAACTATTTGTCAAAACAGACAGTCGGTCGATTCGGCCCATGAGCTGTCGGTTATGGGTACGGGGCCCGCGGGCGTGTTACACACTCCTCCACGTCTGCGTGTGTCAGTGGGAGTGCACATACATGCAGCAGCACACCACACCTCTGCCTGCCTCTTCCCACTGCCTTGGCACCATCACGGGCGTGTGATAGGTGCAGGCAGATGGGGCCCCGTGTTGAGAAGCCTGCCGTTTAGCGCTCTGTGGTCGACCTCTCGAACTTCTTCATGACTATATATTGGCACTTGTGTTTTGTCAGGAAAGTCTGAGGAGGCAGTGGCACTGCTGCTCGGGTCCGCGGTCTTGTCCCTTCACTGCCTCACAACAGCCCCGAGACGGTCCTCAGACACCTGTTCCCCTGCAGTTCCCTCGTCTGGCCCGAGCTGTGTTATCCTGCCCTGTGTCTCGGGTGGAATCAGGTCATGGGGGTGGTGTGAGGGTGGGGTCGTGTACTGCTGTCATGCTCTGCCTCTGACAGGAGCCCAGATGTGAACCTGGAGAAGATGGGGTTGAGGGTGTGTGCCCCTGACATCACAGGGCAGGACACAGAGGTGGCTACATCCCTGCCTCTGACAACACCCAGTGGCCTCAATATACAGCCTCTGCTTACCCTGATCCAGCTACCAGGTAGGTCTCCCCTCTGCTCACCCCACCCCCCACCCTGGGGAGCCCTGTGCTGGAGGTCATCTGAAGTTAAACAGCAAATAGAAAACACCATAACTGGGCGAAAGAGAGAGAGAGAGAGAGAGAGAGAGAGAGAGAGAGAAAGGGACAGGGGGAGAGAGAAAGGCTATAAAAGAAAGGAAAATTTTTATATTTTAATACCTTTAAAACATCACTTTTCCCCTGCATTTGAAATTACTGCATTTTCTGTTTATACTATGCCCTGATCAAACCTTTTAGCTCTGAAGAATCACCTTCGGAGATTCATCTACCAGAATGGAAGGTGACAAAGAAACTTTCACTACTTCATCGGCCATAACCTTTGTAATGGGCTTCCAGTTACACTCCCGAATCTTAAATGTAAGACTGAATTAATTACAAAATTTGTCTTTCAGACTCTACAGGGCTCACTTCAGGATATGACTATTGGGGTTGCAACATGGTAGCCCTTTTCCTTCAGACAGTTGGCTCTAGGATTAATTCATATTTCTTTAGAATGATGCTGACGCACCTTATAAATTCAGAGCACAATCAAAATATATGTGTGAAATTCAATGAGACAACAACAGATAAAGAAAGTTGAAATTTTGCTGAGATATCCCTTTATCTCCTGTTAAAGAAGATCAAACCATAACATTCTGACACACAAAAATGCTCCTGTCTGTCTGGTTCTAAAAAAAACAGCCATAAAACAGACATTGTTAAGATGGTCAGAGGAGTGTGAATATGGGCTTGGCATTATCAGATATTAAAGAATTATTGTTGGTATTGTCATGTGTGATGACAACCTGGTGGTTATGAAAAAAAATATCCTTCATAGATGCACACTGAGGGGTTCATGAGTGAAATAACATCATGTCTGAGATCTGCCTCAAATACTTCAGCAAAAGGAGCAATGGGGGAAGAAGACAGAATTCGGGAGAGAAGAGGAAGAAACAGACGACAAAGGCGACAAAAAAGACGAAGGAGGAAGAGAGGAAAAAAACCCACGAGATCGATGGAATAGAATTGGCAAAATGGTGAGCCTAGGTGATGGAGATGTGGGAGTTCATATTAACATTCTCTTTGTATGTTTTTAAATTCCAGTAATGGAGTGTGTGTGTGTGTGTGTGTGTGTGTGTGTGTGTGTGTGTATGTGTACCTGTTGCTTACAAAAAATTTGTAATAAAAATCAGGGTACAGATTTTTCATTCTCCTCCAAACCAAATGTCTTTTTTTTTTTTTTTTTTTTTTTTTTTTTTTTTTAGTTCAAGAAGCGTCCTCTCGGGCTGGCAGGGCCGCTCTATGCTGATGTGATACAAAGGAGTTGATGGGAAGGATAATCTGCCCATGGGTTCCTGACACAATATAAAGAAGAAAAGGAGAAAGTGGGAGGAAGAGATCGCTATTGTTAGTCCCCTAACCCTTCCTTCTAATTATGCCAGAGTCAAGGCTCGGGTCACAAAGAAAAAGATTTTGGTGCTCAACCATTTGCCCTATTTTGTAGACATCAAAAAAGCTCTTGTTCTTACCACATTCCAATCTCACAGTTTCCCACCTACTTTAAAAATGTATCAAGAGTCCAGATTAACAAAAATATGAATAAAATGACTATATTACAAGGAACACTTTGTTTGTGAAGCTAGAGATGGCCTTCTTGGCATGCTCAATTGCGTGATGTGTAACACTCTAAAAGTTAAATACACTTTATATTATTATAAGTATTTCAGATAAATGCTCGACATGCCCAGCTTTTAAAAGTTGAATGTAAATTTCTCTCTTGAGTGCAGATGGTGGGCAAGCAAAGGAGCTCTTTGGTCTTGCGGACAGAAGGTCAGGTCATGGCTGAAAGACCAAAGAACAATTGCTGCTTTGCTCGTCCAGATCATCCTCGGAATGTGACACCACTCCTTTCTTTTCAGAAACTGTCTGTTTGATACAAAATAGTTACAAAGAGTACCTATAAGATTTCCTCACATTCTGTCCAAGAGAAATTGGTAACGAGCACATCACATCACAAGCATCTTGTAACCGTTCCAAGGTTTTATTCCTAACCCTCTGACCTCCTGAGAAGGCACATCTTTATCTAAAAACACTGGAAATCATTATGAAAACTGCTAATGTTTCACTATGTAGCAGGAAATGGTTTACAAATGGAAACGGCTCCTTTTAAAATCCTGCAACCTTAGCCTCCACATCATTGCTGGTTAATTGCCAAGAGCTATAAGCTCTGAAAGACAAATACTACAGACACTTCTACACGTTATTCATTTACAAGTGATATGCTAATCTTATTATTCCTATAGTGTTTTTTCTCTCTGGAACATTATCCTGTAATTTTAAATAACTCAGACACTCTTCCTATTTGTTTTTCCAGTTAGTCCAAGATGTTATATTGGGCAGATGCTATAAAATACTATTACAAAAGTATATAATAATGCTAGTGAGCAAACCAAGATGATACCCTTAAAAAAAAAAAAAGTCATAATACATCAGGAAAGGAAAGGAAAGGAAAGGAAAGGAAAGGAAAGGAAAGGAAAGGAAAGGAAAGGAAAGGAAAGGAAAGGAAAGTTCCGTTTGGTGTGGTAGTCTTAGTCCTTCAGTCGAGGACAGAGAGGATTTTCAATTCTACTATCAGGCACGCCCCCAACTGGATGCCATGAAATAGTTTCATTATCCGTACATGTTAGTAATGAAAATTCTGAAAATTAAAGTCTGAACATAGCGGCACAAAAGCAGAATCTGATTTTGGTCGTTCAGATGTTAACTTAATGCCAGAGATTTCAGCTATGCCCTGAAAAACTTTTTGTACTAAATTTCATTATCACTTTCATTTTTAATACTTTTCCCAACTGTCTCTGTGTCATCTGCATAGAAAGTTGACGGGGTTGAAAGGGAAAATATGCTGGAAAGTATAATAAAATGCCTTGAACTAGAAATATGTTTTGAAAAAATTTACCAAGAGCTACCTACTTTTAAATTGTGGTGTTTTTTAAAAAAAGTATTGACACTGAGAACTCATTTTAATGGAATAGATTTATCAATCTGCTTTTGCTGAATATAAAGAATGAGAGCCTCCAATGTTCTGTACTGTAACATAAAAATAGAAAATCCTAAGTGAGTCTATTAGAATTGCCTCTCTAAAAACTTTATCCATGTCGACAATTAAAACTGGAGTATCTACACGATCTCAACAAAGATATAACATAAAACATCTGTTCAGCTGAGATTGAAGTAAGCAGCATTTTCCCCTAACATTTCTAATTTCCCTGTATTTAGGCAAACGTATTCATGGTTATCTTAGTTAAAACTGGTTTCACTCTGCCAACAATCAATTTGATTGACATATTTACATATCAACTCATCTCATCTTACAAATTTTAAACTTTTTCACTTAAAATTGGATTCAAGTTGGCATCTTTCAAGAACTTTATGTACGTATATTTTAGGTTCAAACTGTGCATTAGAACATTTTTTTTTTTTACTTTTGTAAGTAATAGATACACATATCCAAATGTATTATTTATGACCTGTCAGATTGGGATTTTATATGCATGCGGCTGTATTCTCACCATTTCATGTGAAAGGTGATAATTTTAGGCAACTAGAAATGAAATTCTTTTAATAGTATAAACTGGATTGTTCCATTAGTTAGAAGCAATATAATAGAAATAAATAACTTACGTCTTTAATTAGGTCTTTAATTGCTGCAGTTACCCTTGTCATCTCTTACCTGATCTTTCATTTCAAGATCCCTTTTAGTTTTTGCTCTGTACTCTCTGTGCTCCTTCTCTGCCTCATCCTTCTCCATTTTGGTTTTATTCAACTGATAGCGCATTTCCCCACACACCTGTTAGATTGTAAAAACTACATCAATAGCTGCTGGAATCTACCAGGCAATGCCTGCAATTAGATCTTTTGGTGCCCCCTAGAGGTCATATAAATAAAATACAATAGAACTCTTCTAAGAATGGCATTTTCTGTATAGAATATTCAATGTATTCTGTTAAGATGCGAAGGCAGTATCAGGTACCACTGAGTTTAACAACTTCAGATTACAGATAAAGAAATGTATTGAGAAATTTAAGTAATGTGCCCAAGATTTTTTGTGGGAAAAATCGTTTCAATTGCATGCTATTATCCAAAATGCATTATCACCTCAATCTTAACTAGGTGAAATCATTAACTAAAATATTAAGCTATATCAATACTCATTCAAGTTATTACAGTTAAACAGACATTCTATAAAAGAAAGGTTTCCCTTAAAGATTTGATCAGTTAGGCTTTTATTCAAGAAATTTATAAAGGAATTTTTCTCTCTGCTAATAGGCTATATGATCGGTATTTACGTGTACAGTGGTCCCTAGTATTCACTACAGTCTCTTAGATAACATCAATCTTATGCACAGTGCTATGCACTTAAATTAAGAAACACTGTCTCGTAAGAGTCATAGACTGGAACCATGCACACTCTGCATTTATAACTGTAGCATTCAACATAAAAGGAAAATATACATTTAAGTGAAATGATTTTAACATATCATTAAATAATGAACACACACAGCATCCTAAAAGTGTTGTGTATCATCCCTTACACAATTTTTTTGTATAAATTTTTTTTTATACAAGGGCTCTACACACAGGTAAATATATTTGGTAAATGCAATTCAGCAGATAAATCTAAAGAAATTATGAGCCTTTGAGATAACTGAGAACCTGTAAGAGATTAACACACACGACTGTTAATTCAGTCTCTGATTTACAAATACAAGTTTTTAAAAATTATGTATCATCCAATGGTTATAGGTGCTTGAAACCTTTCAATTTTGGTATTTATCCAAAAATACAATCAGAACTTTAGAAATTAGTTTTATCATTACTGAGGTATTAGAATCTTATAAAACCTCCATCTATCTCCTATGCTCAAACAAAAAAAAATTTTAAAAATAAACCAATCTGACAGAGGAAAAAGTCAGTAAGTTTCTCCCCAGTGGCCCTCAAAATGCTAGGAAAAGAATACAATTACTGAAAATTCTACTTGAAGTTCAAATTCAAATGCCTTGAATGTGTCAGAGCTGACCCCTCCCATTTCAAAAACACTAGTAATTTATAAAAAGTTATTAATTTTAAAGCTAAATAAAGTTTAAAATGAAGAATGACAGAAAAAAATTAGAGGGGCCCTAATTCCCTTTCCTTCTTGGTTCTTCACTATTCCAACCTATTCGATGTATATACATGAATGAAATGAAAAAAACCAAATTGACGCCAGGAAATAATAATTACACAGCCATGGTGTTTCAAACCTAATACCAACATATAATTATTGTGTAATAATAAATGCCTAGGCATTAAGTTTTATTTAAAATTATTTTATCCCTTAATTTTATTTTTAAAGTTCCCTTGCCTTACTGCTTCCACGTTAGCATCTGCTAAGTTTATCCATGACACTTGAATTTCATCTAAAATAAACTAACGAATTAAACTGAAGTAGAATGATTTCATCTCAGGGTTGGAGCCACCTCAAGGCACCCTTCTGATGCTGGAGTGTTTTTTTGGACAGTTCTAAAGATAGAAGAGGCATCTCGACTGTACATGTTTCAACAGAAAGTTCTCTCCCTACAATGGACTGAACACTCACCACAGCTTTCTCCCTAAATCTGGATTAACCACTGTCACCCCTCTATCCCAACTCCCTTACATTTACCCTTAGCCTCCACACAAACACGCTGATGATATTGGCAAATATGACAGCTTTAAACCTCTATATTGGCTAACTTGAGTTTTAGAAAGCAAATGGAGAATTAAAGAAATTCAAGGGAAAAAAAGAAAAAAATGGGCTTTGTTTCTTCTATATATTAAAGGCAATTGCAATTACTAAATTATAAAGCAACGTTGGCATTACAAATGTGTCAACATTTAGGAAAATATGTTGATAGCTAAAATGCGATATGAAAAGGGTATACATTGCAAACAAAATTATCCGTGTACATTCTGGTAAAAAATATATCCATTTAATTTATTACATCACGCGTGCTCACACGTAGTTTCTTAGTTTTAAGGCAACTGCTTACTGATACCTACATGGACTTCTCGTGTTTCATAAATATGTACCTTACAGTGGCCAGTTGAGACTATTAAACATTTTAGTTCTTGGTTCACAAGTTTGTAATGGCCGAAGTGCAGACACTGTGATGTTTTGAAGTATAAATTTAAGGACCAATAAAATAAGACACTTAGTGTGAGAACCTTGATATTGAAGACCAGGTATGAAAAGGAATGGGAGGTAGAAAATTTTTTATTTTAAGCACACTCTTGGTGTTGTATATATATATGTCTTTTACTATTTTTGTGGGGACCAAACCAATGCTATCTCTGGCAAACATTTTTCCTAACTGTCTAATTTAGAGATGCTGGGATTATCACACATTCAATGACTAAAGTAGTGACACTTGCTTAATGACAAGTCTGTCTCAGCCACTTTGAGTTCTTCAAGGACATTATTTGTGTCTAATTCATCTTTGTATTTTCAGCACTCATCAAAGGGCCTGCCAGTAATAAGTAAATGTTTGCTTAATGACCATTAGGTGGACCTTTACTGTCTGAAATAACAAAACCTTTCTATTCCGTGCTTCTTTCTGAGTTTTGTGCATTAGAAAAAATTACAAACTAGAATCTCACTTTGTACCTTTGTGACATCCATTTCCTTGGAAGCAAGCTGGTTTTGAATTTCCTCTAGTTGATTAATAGCTGAAATCTTCTCTCTTGTAACCTTTTCAACCTGGACCTCCAGTTGGGCAATATTTTGAGACAGGGACAATATCTATAGGAGGAAATAAAAGTCCTAAATGATAATGGCATTTGACAAAATAAATATTGAGAACACTGATGACCCAGCCATAAGAAAGAATGAGATCTTGCCACGCGCAACAACGTGAGTGGACCTAGAGACAGTAAGTCAGAGAAAGACAAATACCGTATGATCTCACTCACTTGTAGAACTTAAGAAACAAAAGAAAGGGAAAAAAGAGACAAAAAACCCCACAGACTCCTTAATACAGAGAACAGACAGGTGGTTACCAGAGAGGAGGTAGATGGGGGGGAGGGGTGATGGGTGAAACAGGTGAAGGGGATTAAGAGTGCACTGGGGCGCCTGGGTGGCGCAGTCGGTTAAGCGTCCGACTTCAGCCAGGTCACGATCTCGCGGTCCATGAGTTCGAGCCCCGCGTCGGGCTCTGGGCTGATGGCTCAGAGCCTGGAGCCTGTTTCCGATTCTGTGTGTCTCTCTCTCTCTGCCCCTCCCCCGTTCATGCTCTGTCTCTCTCTGTCCCAAAAATAAAAAAAAAATAAAAAAAAAATAAAAAAAAATAAAAAAAAAAAAGAGTGCACTTATCTTGATGAGCACAGAGCAATGTATAGAACTGCTGAATCATTGTATGGTGCACCTCAGACTAATAAGACACTATGTAAAAAAAAAAAATCTTGAATTAATAGTCTTCACGTGGCCACTGGGTTCACTCTTAGATCATTTCTCTGTGGATCGGGTATGTCCATTTTTCCACCTCCTCCACTCACCCGTCCCCCATGACTCAAATATGTACTTCCTTCCCATTTATTCCTGGGTCTCTACCCTCATTTGGGGAAATGCATAACAAGATGATAAAATCAAAGTTTGGGTTGAAACTTTAAGGTGAAAAGTTGTGGAAGAGGCTGATACAAATAAATTTCAGGGGCGATGTCAAGCAATCAGAGAAGTCTTGAACTCTTCTCTCACATGGAAGGATAAAAGGACTGGTCGGGAGAGCTGGAGAGGCAGATCTCTTTAGAGAGAGCAACTGAGATTCAATGGATCCTACTCTCCTTCCCCCCAACACCAACAGAGGAGGCTCTATGCACTTCACTTTGCTACACAAAACCACCAGCGCTCCTGTTATTTCCTCTCTCAGCCATTATCCCCTCTCCTCCAGGAAGTTTCTTTGACCCCCTTGTTCCCAGCACAGAATAGGAGCCCTTGATGCACTCAGGGTTGCTATTCAGCTATTGTGTCCTGGGGGGGCCATGTCTGCTGTTTGCAGCTGACATCCACTCTCACGGATTTGCTGCTCATGCAGTACTGTGGTTTCATATCTCGACTCTCACTCCGGTGTATGGCTCCCACAACAGCTTCTATATATCTCCATCACACCGCAAGGTCTGCACACTTCCAACGATGTACTTATCTCACTGTGTTTAGTTGTCTGTTTCCACGTTAGACTGCAAGTTGCTCAAGGGCGTATTCCTCACCGAATGTTTGAGGAATGGATCACTGGAATAAACAGCTCTTCTGAGGAGCACTCCACTCTACGGATCTCAGGCTCTTAGTTTTTCTTCTCAGGGTGAGAAATGCTTTCTAGGTCTTAGATTTAACCCATTTTACAGGTTTTTTTGTTTGCAGTTACATTTTACTCTGCTCCAGTAAGTCAAAATTTCCTAGACTCTTAATTTCCTATTTGTATTAGCAGCTTTGACCTGAAGAAGAAACGCTACCTTCCTCGAGAGTGAAACACGCAGAGATATCTATCAGTTTTTAATCTGGTAAACAAGAACTCATAACAAAATTGAAATAACATTTTAAATCTACCGTTGCACACTGATATGGGTGTGAATTCAGTTTTCACAACTGAAATCAATAACTCGGATTTTGTGACACAGATCATCAAGATTGCCTTTGAATTACATAACGAACTAAAGTTGACACATATGAAATAATGAGCCCTGGTAGCTACTTTCTAATTAAATGGTAGATACATTCATTAACTTTTCTGGCGATTGTGGGGAATTGTGTATTTGACTTATGGTTTGTTTATATGTCCTTCTTATGGTTGAAAGATTGTCTAAAAGTCCAATTTGCACATAAAGCTACTTTTACTAATACCCAGCTACAAATGATTCTAATTCACATTATAATCTGAACTTGAAATTGAAATTCATAAGAAGTTAAATGCAGCAAACAACAAGATTAATTTATATCCTTAATTTGAAAATTCAGGTTCATGAGTATCCATATTATGAATGTAATTCTAGCTTCTCTGGAACCATACCACAGCAGCAAACTTTAATTACCAGCTACTAAAAATCATATTTGTGTGAAGATGTATCTTATGGTAAACATACTAACATTGGTGGTTTTTGCAGTAAATATGCAGACATTTACCTGCTAACTGTAAATTCTGAGTCAGTTTCTATAATAAGCGTGTAACAAATCACATCCCTTCCATCTGACTCCCTCCCTCTGCCACCCATCACTTCTTCCCTGTGCCCACTACCTGTCTGCTCCCTCCTGTCACCCACTTCCTGAGGCCTCTGCTCCTGTTGTCACACCTCCTTTTTCCCCACACCCACCATCTGGAAGTCAACATTACACCGCAGGAGCGTCTCCATCCACATCTGTTGCGGAGACACAAGTAACACGGACAGCTGCAACACTGCTGGATGTCCGGGGCGTTGACATCAGGCAAGTCCTTTAAACTTTGACAGGGGCAAGCAAGAGACAAGGACACCCAGGCTGGGACAGCTTGATGGAAATCTCTATACAAAGGTGGTCCCTAGTGTACTGAACACAGTAGAAAGTGGTACTCACTATACAACGGGTGCAAGAGTTAAGAATTCTAGTGATGGACTATTATCAAGGGAACCAACTGAAAAAAATGGATAGACCATAGGGGGCGCTCAATAAATATGATCAATGGCCCACTGAACTAATAAACCTAGGGGCTCAGTGCAGCCAAGGACCGTAACAGAAGACAGCAAACAAACTCACAGCAAGTCCTGCTCATGGGGGAATGATTCGAAATCTGTCTAGGTAGAAGACATCTGCTCTCCAAGAGCTTCCCACACACACGAAATTTAATGAGAATGAGTAAGAAGAAAGAAAAGAAAGAAAGAACAAAAAGAGAGAAGCAAAGCCTAAAAGTCTTGCAAGCGTTCCTTACTGCTAGGAAATGGGGGGCGGCGAGGGGGGGCTCTTTAGCACAAACTACAGAGCTCTCCCAGCGTTAGGATGAACTGTTCTGTCTCCCTCTCAGATACACTTCCTGTGCTAGGCAGTGGGATACACGTTCTCTCTTTTAATCCCCTTGGAGAAGGAATTATATGGGATTAATTTTTCAGTTGAAAAAGAACCAGGAGATTCTGAAAATCCAGAAATTTGCCTACGTGCATTCAAGCTAATGAATAAAAAGGAGAGCCAGGCTTTATATTCAAATCTGCCTGCTTTGCTAATACGCAGGTGCAAGAATTCCATCCTCTCAGCCTACTCCTCTTTCTGTGCAGTAAGAATGATACTAGCCTCAAGCTGAAAGCCATTAAATGTCCGCTCTAAGCGAGGTATATTAGGTACTTCCGAAACATTCTTTTCTAAGCCCATCAGTTCCTTGAGTAGATCAACTCCATTATTTACTCCTCTGAAATCTGGCAAGGTTAAAAGAATTGTTCAAGGTCACACAAAGGTCAAACTGGATTCAACTCTGAATCCTTTGACTCCAAAGCCACGTTCTGCCATTTCCTGGTGACAGCACTTGCCAGAATGTGAGAAGCACTTTCAGCTCTTCATTCAGACACTTTACTTAGGGCAGGACCTCGAGATGAAATGCCAGCCAAGGTTCACTGAGGGCAAGACACATGACTGGGTCTCAGCCATACATTGTACTTTTGTTGCCACTTTTGCTCCTGGAATAATTGTTAGTGTTAAGAAAGAGGCTGTGTTATACAAGAGCACCTGGAATGCTGCCTGGCACTCTCGGCCTTCCTTTGTCCTTCCTTATCAGGAATTCTCACCACCATATTTTTTTCAAGTGGAACCGCTCAGCAGGGCTAAAGGTTTCCACTGAACAGCCCCCAAATTAAGAGTCTCCCAGGCGTAAATAATAGCTGGTCTTTGCTATTGGTCCTGTTCTTTGTCACACGCACAACACTCACTTCACAAAGTCCCCTCCCTCCACGCCTTATCCTTGTTGGTTCCAGCCAGCATCCCTTCCCTCATGCTCTGTATTTCCGAATCCTACTTACAGGTCCATATGCCACCTTCCTCCCCAGATCTTCCATGAGCTCAGGCAGACACAGACCGTTCTGATCCTCTGAATTCACAACCTCTCAGTCACATGATTCCAATGGCACAGGGCCTCTCTTCTTCCCCTGTGTTACACTCATTCATTCGACAAATACACACGGAACACATTTTATGTGAGTGGGATGTGCCAAGCAATGACGATGTTAAGCGACCACACATTCAGGGGACTCGTGGTAAATTGGGGGAGACAAACAATTCAACAAGAATTTGCAATTAACTGAGTCACAGGAGACCATAGGAGAGACTCCGAATTCATCTCTGAAAGTAGGTGGTCTCAAGAAGAACTCTGAAGGATCAGTTAGGAAGGACACAGAGCAGAAGATTCCTCTAAGCAAGGGGCAAAGCACATGGAAACTCCTGAAAGAAAAATAGTAGAGCAGGACGGTGGTGATGCAAGGAAAAAGGTGAAGGGAGATGAGACTGGGAAATCAAAGACAGCCAGAGAAATGCAGAATCTGTGTGCAATGCTAAAGGATCCAAAATCTTATCCAAGGAGAGGCAGGGAGACAGGAAAGGATGTCAAAGCAAGAGACTGACATATTGCCTGGTTCGTTTTAGAAAGACCATCCCTGGCTGTGGCTTAGGGGTGACACGGAAGCAAGGAGAGTGCTCGGGGCTGTAGAAGTCATCCAGGAGTGACGATATGCATGGCAGGGAGACAGGGCAATGGGAAACTCCTAGGTGTCTGAATCTCTAGAATTTGGTGACTTCGTGATGAGTAGGGTAAGGGAGAGGATGGAGACAAAAATGCCAGCGAGATTGCAGAGTTGGACAATCTCCCATAGGAGAGGGAGCATGGCAAGAGAAGCTGGGTTAGGAGATCACTAGAGAGCTGAGGATCTAGGAATCGATGTCACATACATGAAACCGGGAGCCACTCTAATGCCAAAGACATCAGAATATAATGCTCTCTGCTAAACTCTAGAACTTTCCATCAAGTTGCTTTCTGGATGCGTTTCCTTCATTGTCTCAAAGGCACTTTAAACTCTGAGCAAACTGACAGGCACACATTATCATCCTCCCAAAGCAAGAAATCCAGAGAAATCAAGGAAAGAGAACCTTTCATTTATTTATTTTCTAAAAGTAAGCTTCATGCCCAGCACAGAGCCCAACTTGGGGCTTGAACTCACCACTCTGAGATCAACACTTGAGCTGAAATCAGCAGTCAGAGGCTTAACCAACTGGGCCACCCAGGTGCCCCGGAAAGAGAATCTTTTAAAGAGAATAAGAACTGGGGCACCTGGGTGGCTCAGTCGGTTGTGCGCCCAACTTCAGCTCAGGTCATGATGTCATAGTTCGTGAGTTCGAGCCCTGCATCGGGCTCTGTGCTGATGGCTCAGAGCCTGGAGCCTGCTTCAGTTTCTGTGTCTTTCTCTCTCTCTGCCCTTCCCCTGCTTGTGGTGTCTCTCTCTCTCTCTCTCTCTCTCTCTCTCT